AAGCTACGGAGTTCAGTGTGCGTTATAACCGACCGGAAAAAGAGATCAATAATTTACTGGAAAAGAAAAATGATCAGCAAATCAAAGAAAATCGTCGTATTTTACGCAGTATCATTGAGACAATTTTGTTTTTAGCAAAGCAAAACATCTCTTTTCGTGGACATGAAGATGAGGGGTTCCCGAGGAATGATGCCGCAGCTCAGGGTAACTTTCGAGAGTTACTCATGTTTCGATCCTCGTCCGGAGACGAAGTTATTAAGAATCATTTAAAAACTTGTTCACGAAATGCTATGTACATGAGTCCACAGATTCAAAATGAATTGATTCAAATTTGTGCTGAAATCGTGAAGAAAAAGATTTTAAAGGAACTAATTTCTTCTTCCGCATTCTACAGTATCCTGGTCGATGAAACATCTGACGTTTCTGGTACCGAACAGCTTTCATTCTCGGTTAGATTTATGTCGTATGAAGCAGATAATCCAGTCATCAGAGAAGAATTTTTGGGCTTTACACCTATTACTGATCTATCTGGAAGAGGAATTGCTGAGACAGTTATACAACTTATTCGAGAGCATGGCCTCGATGTACACAAATTAAGAGGTAAAATGAGACTTACATGATAAACCAAGCAAAGTAGATAGAAATATATCTAGTTTGTAGGTCAAGGATTCGACGGTGCCGGCGCAATGTCCGGAAAATTTAACGGTGTTCAAAAACATATTCGAGATCTAGTTCCATCGGCACTTTACGTCCACTGCTCAAATCACACACTCAATTTAGCGATTGGAGATGCATGTGTTCTCAAAACAATTCGTTCTTTTTTTGGCATGCTTAAATGTGTTATTAATTTTATCAATTCATCACCAAAACGAACAACTATTTTCAAAAATGCGATCGAAGCTACCGTTTGCATAACCAAAAAACGAAAACTAATTACATTGTGCGACACACGCTGGGTAGAACGACATTCATCCGTACTAGTTTTTGAAGAGCTATATCCAGCTATTCTTGTAGTTCTCGATTACTTCGTGGAAATAGATCATTATAACAAATTTTATCTCCTTTTAAACTTTGCGGTTCAGAAGTGATTGGTCAAAACAGCTCACTGCAGCTACGCAAGTATTAACAGAAATCTGTCTTTATCACCGTAGGCGATAGTGAACAGAGTGGATTAGCTAAAGCTTAGAGTGGGAACGGTGACGAAAAGCAGTTTTGTTGACTAGTTTTTTGATAGATTGATATCATGGGAAGTCTCCACCAACGAACAAAATATTTTATCCTGAAGACAAACTGCTTTTCATCTCCCTAAAACTGCGGAGAAGTCTGTCGACGCACTCGCATTACGGATCACTTGATAAACTAAGGCTTTTGTATTTCTAGATCGATCGTTATTGACGACCAAAACAAGTATAAAACGTCTTAGTTTCAGCGTCATTTAATCGTACACTCATGTCATTCACGACTGCCTGTCTTATTCTGGGCTTCTTCTTGCCAGTGCTTCTCTGCCGTGAGCATAGGTCAGACGATCAAGATGTCCGATTCGACAACTTAGTGATCTTTGGCGACTCATACACAGACACAGGCAATGTTTACAGGATATCTAATCACACCTGGCCTCTGTCACCACCGTATTACCGTGGTCGATTCTGCAATGGTCCTAATTGGGTGGATCAGTTGAAAGCACACAAAATATCGAACTATGCCTACGGGAGTGCGACAACGGACAACAACTTCGTTCAAGGCTTTGCTAAGTTTGGTACTATCCTCGTACCTGGAGTTCGTCAACAGATCGGCATCTACTTGAATCAAACTTCTTTGAATAAGGTCGATTTCAGACGCACTTTGTACATCATTTGGGCGGGTGGCAACGATTTTATTTTCAATCCAACTGTACTTCCACCGGCAATTGTAGCCAGCCTGTTGAATGGAGTCAAAGATCTGCTTGCTATCGGCGCCAAATATATTCTTGTCTTCAATTCCCTACCGATTCAAGATGTTCCATTCACTAGCGCGCTGGGACAAGCCTCTACTTTAGCCTACCGGACTACTTTATTCAATACCGTTCTTACGACTAGCCTAGGAACACTTCAACAAAACAATACACAAGCATCGCTGAATATTTTCGATATCGATTTTCTTCTCACGAAAGTTATTGCAAGCCACGGTTACTTCACAAATACAACTGCCAATTGTTGGATTGCTGTGAATGCGACCACAATAGTGAAGCTGTCACCACTGCCAGATCCGGAAAAATACGTCTTCCTTGATCTTATACACTTTACCAGTCGTATGGATGGCCTGATTGCCGATGCTATTTATCAATTTCTTCTTAACTCATTCGAGGTCAACACATCTGGCTATTATGTCCAGCCCGCTTAACTCTCTATTTCTCATTTACTCTTTTTTTCTTCTTCTTTTCTCTTAAAATTAATTCATGCCAACATTAACCTTTTATTACAGCAATAAAAAAACAGAGTTGATCACTATCTTGAAATGTGCATTTACTCTAATTGCATGAGTGTGGGGTAGTGAATAATCATTTGTTTTAAAATGATGTTTTGATTTAATGTTAGTACATCTAGATATTCGCATGCCTATTGTATCTTATATAATCTCACTTGTTCTCGAAGGCCCTAGACTAATGTTCAGGCATGAGTTAAGACTACAATGTCATGCGAATATCCTTAGAATTTTCTACTGATATATAAAGGCCTTCGTTTTGTGATACAAGTAGTTATTTATCAAGTTGTATAAAACAGGCGACGTAAGAGAAGTTTTAGTCAAAATAAAATTGTTATAATACAAAGGAAAGGAGAATCAGTGAACGACCGCCTCGACACATGAGCGTTTTAGAAACATGCTGAGTTGACTGTCTCTACGAGAAGGAAATCGATGCTTCTCCTTGTTTCAACTGTCTTTTTTCCACAATACAAATCAATCAATCAATCATTCTGTTCACGTATCTGAGAAAGAGTACATTTTTGGGTCTTAATGTGTAAGGAAACGCGTGTTTGTCATACCATATTTGTGTTCGTTGAAGGCGAACCGTTCATGAAATGAAACGAAGTATTTCGAACGGCAAATGATGAAAGAAGGATAAATTATGACTGACTATCATGCTTCATATTGATTCGATTCACACGGGAGCGTCGTCAAAAGGAAATCGACAGTCATTGCTTGTCTGCAGAATGATCGTTCGGCTCCGAATAGATGCATAAGCGCGAGGACAGAATATCAGTTCCACATCGATGTATCATAAATCTCCTTATTCGGATGTTTACGACAATTTAAGATTAGATGTGATTTTCTTAATGCATCCGTGACAAGCCACGCTCGTCTGCAGACTCGCTTGACTCTTCCTCAAACAAATAGGTGCGCCTAGGATCTCAACAAATCACTTACTCACAACTTCAGGAAACTTAGGTTTTTGCCAACACGAAACGCGTGATAAATCAGTGATTTTTTCACGAATCTTTTTCATTGCGGAGAATATGCAAATATTGTGAACATTTCTTTTGCAGCAGTCATATCAAACACTTCGTGCAATCTTTGTCAGACGTCGACTTAATTTTCCAGTGTTAGCATTGTTAGTACAATGATCCGTGAACGAAAGTTTGCGTATAGCCAGAACACGCATTTTTCATGTAGATTTGTATCGCAAAGGGTTGCTATTCGGTTTTTCTACTTGAATTTGAATTAGAACATGTTTTGATCTAGATCCATCACATGTATTTCGATCATCGTCTTAGGTATTGAAGCACGCATATATTTTATGCTTACTGAACGTGTATCATTGACTCTCGGAAAATGTTCATGCAGGATGAATCATTAGTTATCAGAAATTAATTGTCAACTTGGTGAGCAGTTTGACCATGTAATCTCCTCACTCAAGTCCAACACTTTCGAAGGGGTTTTTTGTCATTCAGCTTCCCCTATGAGAGTAGTGCTCACATGAGTCCACCATGAAAACAACTCGTAGCTCGTTGGCATCCGTTCGGGACGCCACTCATCACTCATTGTTCCTTTCCCCTAACCACTGTCTTTCCAAATAACACTACATCTGCCACAGTACAGTCTTTGACTTAATTATGAACCTGACAGTAAGGGGACACCTTCTGTATCCTGATCGGGATATATATCCCAATTGGGATATAGCTATATCCCGATCAGGATATAGAAAAAAAGTAGTATCCCGATCGGGATATAAAACACGAAATTTCGTCGTAAAAACGATTAAGGGGAAAATGACGACATTTTGGGGTAAAATTGA